CCCGCCCTCGCGCGCCCCAGTTTAACCCTTCAGTTCCTGGCAGCCTTTTCGCCGCAGGTGGGGCGGGAATCGAGACTGAGGGTCCTGGTGGCGCCCGGTGGAAGCGGTGCTGCTTCCAAGTTGTTCCCGAGCTCGTTGGCTTCCCGTCCCGACAACCGCTTTGCCGCACGTGATTGCAGTTGGACACGTGAAAGCGGCCTGGCGCGGGAAAGCCCTTTTCGGTCCGCTGGTGAGGCGGAGGCAGGAAATGCGGGGCTTTTGTTTTATTTTAAGGCCGCCTCGCAGTGAGGAGGAAGCGGGAGGCCTCGCTCGGAGCCGCTTCCGTTCCCGCGCCGACCTCGTGGCGGGCTCCTGGCTTTTGCCGAGCTTCCCGGGCTCGTGTGAGAATCGGGAAGGATGGGCAAAAAATAGTTCGGAGGAAGAAGGGCACGGGCAGCAGCTGCAGTTGTTGTTACAGCCGGTGTTGAGAAGTCACAGCCGGTATACATACAGGAGTTGTCCTTTTCTCGTTACGTTAATCCACTTTATGGGTCTGGTGGAGAGAGTATCATTAAAAAAAACCCAAAACCCACCATCCTCCGTAATCAGAAAAAGCAATCAATTTGTGACCATTGATGGTCCTCTTCCTAGATGATTTTGCTCCTCTTTTTGGGTTGTTTTGCATCCTCTTATGTTGAGGGTGAGACTCTGGGGATGGTGAGAAAACTGCCATCATATATGTGTGGTGAGGGTTTTCCAGCATCATGTATACACTCTGGTATTGATTTCCTTATCTGTATATGTGTATCTGCACACATACTGTACTTTTTAAGTACTTATAATCTAGGAACTACTGTAATTGTAGTAAGTTCAGAGAAAGGCAACATGAATGATCAAGGGTCTGGAAACCAAGCCCAATAAGGAAAGACTGAAAGGATTGAGCATGTCAAGCCTCAATAATGGAAGGCTGAGGGATGATATGATAGCACTTTTCAAATACTTGAAAGGCTGTCATACAGAGGAGGGTCAGGATCTGTTGTGCATCATCCCAGAGTGCAAGACATGCAACAATGGGCTCAAGTTGCAGGAAGCCAGATTTAGATTGAATATCAGGAAAAACTTTGGTAAGACAGAACCAATTATCTCGAGAGATACAGAGTTCTGGAAGCATTCAAGAGAAACTTATACAACTACCTGGTAGATATCCTTTGATCTGTATTCCTGCATCTAGTAGGGGACTAGACATGATGGCCTTATAGTCCCCTTCCAACTTCATTATTGTATGTTTCTATTAAGAGGAGTGGAAAAAACAGCATGGAATGCAGGCCTCAGGGGAGGCTCATAGATTACTGTATTTGAAGAACCATGGCTTCAGAGAATTGGGAAATGGTGCCAACTTTTTCTCCTGTTAGCAAGATTTTTGGTAAACACAGATGGTTATGGAGAGCTTTGAACCAGAAGTCATTTGTGACTGCCCAGTCTCACCTTTATAAGTCTTCCTCTCTCCTGCTCCTTGGTTGTCATTGATTTGGCTCTCCTTTTGCAATGTACTGAAAATGTTCCTGCTGATCCACATCTCCCCTCCTGTTGTAGGACATGGCTGAGCAGGATGTGGAGAACGAGTTGTTGGACTATGAGGAGGATGAAGAGCCTCAAGCATTGCCTGATGCAGCCCCTGTCATTGCTAAAAAGGATGTGAAGGGCTCTTATGTCTCCATTCACAGTTCTGGCTTCCGTGACTTCCTGCTGAAGCCAGAGCTCCTTCGTGCTATTGTGGACTGCGGCTTTGAGCACCCATCAGAAGGTAGGAGCGGAGCCAAGGCCCTTGGCCCCCTCGACAGCCAGCCCAGCCCACCCACCGGGGAGCAACTGCCAGTGGTGCCACGCGGTGCAGGGTGAGAGCTGGGGGCTGCAGGGAGCAGTGGGGTGGTGGGGGAGAGGGTGTTGTAATGGGAAGGTTTTCCTTGGCCTCAGAGTAGTTCTTGAAATGCCTGTGCTTTGGGGAGCTTTGCCTAAATAAGGGGAGAGGGATGTGTAGCTTTGCACATTTTGTTGATGCTCATCAGCCATAGTCACCTTGGCCAATAATGAAGGATGCTAGCGGTTGTAGTCCAGCAAGATCTTGAGGGCCAGAGATTCTCTATGGCTGCCCTGATGGATGGCATTCAAATTTTGTACATGTTAGTAGCTGGATAACTTTTCACTTTATTGTTAAAAATCAATTTCATTTAGAGCTGAGAAATCTCACTGTTGCATTATGCTGGCCAAATGGAGGCTCTCTTAGTATATTAATTTAATTTACACTCAATATGAAGTTGGATTCGCAGTGTGGTGTAGTGTAGTGGATAAAGTGACGGACCAGGACTCTGGAGACCAGGGTTCAAATCTCCACTCAGCCATGGAAACTCACTGGGGCAGTGGAATTGGTAAAGCCACTCCTTAAAGATCTCACCATGAAAGCCCTATTAGGGTCGCTAAAAGTCTGTTCTACCTTGATGGCACACACTAACCAACCCATGAAATTGGATGTAGTTTAATAGTTAAAGGGAGAATATGCAGTTTTTCAGGTTCTGCAGCTAGAATCTTCTGTGCAATAATTAGTCCATACTGAAGTCCTTTATGCCTTGTTTGTTTCCAGTTTGTGATTCAGAGTGATAAATCTATACAGTCTGTGAGAATAGTATTGCATCTTTCTGTAGGAAGTGTGTAGGGAAAAAAAGAACATGATTTGGAATTTCTACATTGTAAGAGGTGGGAAACAGCTGGAATGGAAGCTTCCTTGAGGCCATTCCACTAGTTCCGGGTGCTCTCATTGGCCCAGGGCCTAACAGAATCCCTTGTGTGACTACTTTTTGTTCTTGTCCTCTCAGTGCAGCATGAATGCATTCCACAGGCAATCCTTGGCATGGATGTCCTCTGCCAGGCTAAGTCAGGCATGGGCAAGACGGCTGTTTTTGTATTGGCGACACTACAGCAGATTGAGCCGGTGGATGGACAGGTAGGTAATGGGGACGCTTCTGTGTTTATGTTCCCTGTGGTTCCTGTTTTGAAAATACAAGAAGGCTAGGTAGCAAAAAGGCCTCTGACAGAGGTGCAATCTTAACAAGAATGAAAGTAAGTTTTTGATTTAAAGTCTGCTATCTAGAAAGGGTATAACACATGAGCTTTCAGGACACTTAGTATAGGTTAGAGGTTTAAGGGGCCTTTCTTATTATTGCTGTGACTTGAACCTTGGGTGAGCCTTTAAATGGCTTGCTGCCACTTTTCTCAGGTAGAATATTGAGTGGGACTTCAGGACTCATTTGAATAACTTAACAGTTGTAACCAGGTTTGGTAATCCTTCTGTTTCTGTGAGGCACACAGAGCTGAATTCCTTACAAGATGTTGTTTGTTACTTTGTCCAATTCCATAGTGACCTCAGGCAGTAGGAAATCTAGCTAAGGGTACGATCTGTTCTGGACTGATAGTTGCTTTTGTTCTGTGTCCAAATTCCAGCAATTCCATGGGATATGCCACCAGATCTACAACTGTTTATTAGGTGGTGATCTAAAGTATTGGCATGGATAAAGATCAGCTATGAAATAGAGTGATGGTCTGACTGGCACTGTCTATGCTACTGCAAATCAACATATTCTAGAAAGAAAGCAGAGTGTTTATTGAGGAAATCCTAAAAAATTTCCTTGCTGCCTTCATAGAAACATGACCTTTTCTTTCTGGTAGGTGTCTGTGTTGGTGATGTGTCACACTCGGGAGCTGGCCTTCCAGATCAGCAAAGAATATGAGCGCTTCTCTAAATACATGTCCAACGTCAAGGTGAGGGGCAGTGTGTTGCAAGTAGGTTGATGGTATATGATGGATAGTTCCGATTGTGTCGAAGGTCAAAGCTTCATTCCTAGCTCTCTCTGGGCTAGACCAGACTTCAAAATAGACAAAAGTGAGAGGGAGGGATGAAAAACAAGTAATAACCAGAAACTGGAAGTCCTCTGTTTTTGGTTTTGGTTTTTCTGATTCATGTAGCCTTTTCAAACTTGCAGAGCTATGATATCCTTTCTCCTGCATGCAAAAAACACTGTTTCTTCATGCCTCCAGATGAAGATGGGGTGGAGGGAATGGTTGAGGCGGGCTGGATGTGCCTCAGAAAAGTCTTGTGTGGCCATATGCCATCCATAGGCCACTGTTTGTTTGCCTCAGTATATAGAATATGCAGCAATGTTGTGTCTGAGGAGCAAGCATAGGTGATGGAAATGGAGTGTGTAATTTGGGAAATGCCTTGTGGTGGGGGTGAAGAGACAATTGCTTATTGTGCCACTGACTTCAGTACTTCCACCTCTGTTTGCTGGCACAAAGAACCTTCGCTTCAGAACAAATGATAGCTTGTGGTTCCAAAGATTGGCACTTTGTTGGCTGTTATAGGCCAGTGCTAATACATTACTACTAGTTCAGATCCTGTTATATTGAACGGCTATAACTCGGCAGGCGGTTTATTTTGTTTGTTTGTTGTATTTCTGTGCTGCCTTTTTCCCAGTTAGGTTGCCACATTTGTGCATGCAGAAGCTCTGGTTTCCGTCTTTGTTTCCAGTAAGGGTTAGGAAAGGATCCCTCTGAAACTATGGAGAGCTTCCACCCGTCAGTGCAGGCAGTCTTCAGCTAAAAGGCAGCTTCATTAGTTCAGGGGTTGTATATAATTTTATCTGTGCCAAACTGCTTTAAAAGGAATAGGATATTTTGTTGACTTGCTCAGTGTGGATGTTTTTGACGCCTGTTTGACCTGCAGGTATCAGTCTTCTTTGGTGGCCTTTCTATCAAGAAGGATGAAGAGGTGCTGAAGAAGAATTGTCCACATATTGTGGTGGGGACCCCAGGCCGTATTCTTGCGCTGGTGCGCAATAAGACACTCACCCTGCGCAATGTCAAGCATTTTGTGTTGGATGAGTGTGACAAAATGCTTGAGCAGCTGGGTAAGAATGAGAAGTAGCAAGCTGGAGACAGTTTGTGTGAACACACTGTAGTTTGAGTTGTTCTAATGTGAGATTCTTGATCTGTTGGGCATGAGAGTTCCTGTCTCTAGAAATTAATGTGTTTCAAGGTCAAGAAACTAAGGATCATGCAGACATAGGAAAAGTAATGCTGCTTATATGCAAAATCTGCCTTGGGGCATTTAAAGAGTTCGTGTATCTGTTTAAATCTAATTTAGGAAGTCTGGTCCAGGTCATTATTCTTGAAGCAAAACTACAGAACTGCTGCTTTGTTCAGCTGAACTAGAACTAATATGCAGGACTGGAACATAAACGGAGAGTGGGCAATTTTCCTAGGATGTTGAAGCATCTCTGGCGTGTAGAGAATAATTTTTAAGTGCCCAGACCTAGTTCCTGTCCTGTTTTTCTTCCACATCAAGGGGTGGGGGAAATAGTTGTGATAAGGCAGTAGTGAAAGACAAACTGCTTTGAAGGGGATGTCCAGATGTAGTTCTCAGACACGTGTTCCTAAACCTTCAGGCATCATGTCCAGCTTTTAATGACTGAGAAAACTTCATGTTCCCACTTCTCCTTTAGCATCAGTTGCATCTCCCAGATTTTAAATTTGTAATTTAAAATAAAAAAATCAACATTATAATGTACCAGAAGTTATTTTAAATTGAAAATAAGCACATACAATGTTTCTTATTGCCTAGAATTAATTAAAACGTAATTTATCTTGAGAATGATGTGATTGACAGCTTACTGTTTCTTGAACAACAAGTCCTATCATTTACTTATAATTGTAATTTACCTTGAGATTGATGTGATTGACAGCTTAGCTTCAGTGTTATCATGGGTGTTTTTAATATTACATAGGTTATTCTCAGAATTTCTTTTTAAAATATATGATAATTTAAGAGTGTTTTACATGAATATCGCAATAACCTTATAACAACCCTAGAAGAAAGTGCTCATAGCTGTTTTTAATATTACATAGGTTATTCTCAGAATTTTTTTAAAATATATGATAATTTAAGAGTGTTTTACATGAATATCGCAATAACCTTATAACAACCCTAGAAGAAAGTGCTGTGTTTCCTTAGAACAGTATATGGGAAGCTGAAGGTAAGAGACTGGTTTTCCTAGAGTGGAGAGGAAGGATTTCAGCTAGAAACATTTTTGTTGTACTTCCGCTTCTTCCATTAGATTTCCAGTGTCAGTAATAGGTTAGCATTCTCCTCTGGATTTCATCAGAACCAAAGAAGAATCTACACATCTTGTAGTACTTGTTCCTGCAAGCCTTTGGCTACAAAATGCTGCTTTTCCAGGGCCCCAAAAACATGCTGCTCTCCCCTTTTATAGCTTACTGTCTTCAGGGGGCTAGTGCAGATGGCAGCAGAAGTAGAGGGAATGTATAGAAAATGATATCTTCCCTTATGTGATTGCAGGGGTACTCTCTCTCTCTCTCTCTCTGCATCCCCTTCCTTCTGTGGCTTCTTGACACCACTGCAGCTACCTTGTACCCTCTTTTGGTGGGCTGCCACTCATCTCCTCCCCACAGGAACAGATGCAGGGCTCATGTTTGCTGCCACCCTCCACCCAAAAGGCTGCTGCTTGTTGATACCCGAGTGGTTGTTTCTCCCTCTCTTCTGTCCTTTACCAAGCCAACCCAGAAGGTCTCATTTGCTTGCAGTGGTGACTCTTTGGACAGGCAACTTGAAGGTGGTGGCTGTTCTCCTCACCGGTGTGCCGCCTATTCCTGGCCGGGGTGGCTGGCACATGCAGCGGAAAGAGAGCCACCTGGAGCAGCACCATTGTCTGCCGTTGCTGGCTGGCAGCCTGTATCATTTCTCTTAAGCCACTTGTCTGGAGAGCCAACAAGAGCTACTGCCATAGATGAATGAAATTCTTTGGCTTGCTAACAGAGCAGAGAGAACAGAGAGCCATGCCAGTGTTTACTTATGAGGTGATCTGTTCTTTACTGTACCTCCTCCTTATGTGTTGATACCTCACTTTCCAGGTTATTTGATCCACCCTGACACACACACAGACACAGAGAGAGATATTCTTCCCTCCTGCCCATGGGTAGCCCCCAGCCCCAGTTTGGGAACCAATGCCATTAAACCATTGTTCGTCATTATAAGACTCAGTCTCTCTGCTTCTGCTGTGTGGCAGTTTGCTCTTCTGTCCAAATAAAGGGACTGTACTATGTGTTGCCTGCAAACCAGGGTTAAACTGCACTGCAGAAAAGTGGAAAAGATACCTCAACTTCCCAAACATGATGACCTCCAGGTGTTCTTGAACAACAAGTCCTATCATTTACTTATAATTAATTACATTTAAATCCCGTCATTGCTCCAGAGAGCTGTGACTATTAGCATGCTAACTGGTTTTGTGGGCTGTTGTAGTCCAAAGTATTTAAGGGAGGTTATTACAGTTGAGAGAGGTCCCTATAGCTAATCAGATAAAAGCAGATAAGCTTGCCATAAATCGGGATTGGACATTAACTTGTGCATGCAAAGACAAAAACAGTCAAACTTCTAGACCAGGGCCACAACATATATGTTTCAGATTTTCAAGGGCTGAATATGTGCATGCATATTCATGCATGCACTCTTGCACGCGCCCACACCCTCATGCTGGCTGGGCCAGACAAAAGGGCAAGGATGTGACCTGCAGGCCATAGTTTGGAGACCCCTGCTCTAGACTCATACTGTCTGAACATACCTTGAAGTAGGTATCTAAATACTTTTTTGGAACTTAGTGCTGTTGAATTCAGAGGGACTTGATTCTGAGTAGTCTCGTGTAGTGTTATGGCGAGTCTTTGGAGAGAAGTGTGTGGACAAAAGAAGTTTCTTTGCTACAAGAGGTGCATTGCTTTGAGAGGGTCTTTAAGGTATGTAACTGATGGGTGAAATTGATCAGAAGGGTTTCTTCAGTTTTCGGCCCCTGGGCTCATGGATACATTGAATCTCAGAAGTGAGGAAGACTTGGTGCACCTTTGGGTTCAGAATGTAGGACTTGGTGAATTTTTGACTCTCCCTCCTTTTTCTTTAGACATGCGCCGTGATGTGCAGGAGATTTTCCGACTGACACCCCATGAGAAGCAGTGCATGATGTTTAGTGCCACGTTGAGCAAAGAAATCCGGCCAGTCTGCAGGAAGTTCATGCAGGATGTAAGCCCTAGTATCTCACCTCTGCTGCTTTTTTGTTATATGCATTAGATGTAGAAAAAGAGTGGAATGTCACAGAGAGCCCCTACTTGTGGCGCTACCTGTCATTGGCTGCGCTTGATCACTACCGCTATGTGTCAACCATCCTTCATAAGAAAAAAGTACCTCACATAACTCAGTGCAGTAGTGGTGTCAAGATTTCAGAGGATCCTTTCGGATAAAGTTGCCAGGGATTGACTGTTGACTCTTACAGCAAACAGAATATGTTTTTCACCACTGAGTGGTAGCCTTTCATGGCTGAGAAGGGCGAGCTGCTTCATTTCCACTGTATTTAAGATAGTTTGCCTTAACAGAGAAAGAGAGGAAGGTTGGGCACAATTAGGGGAAAGGGTTAATGTTGTTTAGTTAAGTTGTGTCTGACTCTGTGACCCCATGGACCACAGCACGCCAGGCCCTCCTGTCTTCCACTGCCTCCTGGAGTTGTGTCAAATTCATTCTGGTAGCTTCGATGACATTGTCCAACCATCTCGTTCTCTGTCGTCCCCTTCTCCCCTTGCCTTCACTCTTTCCCAACATCAGGGTCTTTTCCAGGGAGTCTTTTCTTCTCATGAGATGGCCAAAGTATTGGAGCCTCAGCTTCAGGATCTGTCCTTCCAGTGAGCACTCAGGGCTGATTTCCTTCAAAATGGATAGATTTGTTCTCTTTGCAGTCCAGGGGACGCTCAAGAGTCTCCTCCAGCACCATAATTCAAAAGCATCAGTTCTTTGGCGGTCAGTCTTCTTTATGGTCCAGCTCTCATTTCCATACACCGCTACTGGAAAAACCATAGTTTTGACCTTTGTCAGCAAGGTTTTAAGATGCTGTCTAGGTTTGTCATCACTTGCCTTCCAAGAAGCAGGTGTCTTTTAATTCTGTGGCTGCTGTCACCATCTGCAGTGATCATGAAGCCCAAGAAAGTAAAATCTGTCACTGCCTCCATATCTTCCTCTTCTATTTGCCAGGAGGTGATGGGATCAGAGGCCATGATCTTAGTTATTTTGATATTGAGCTTCAGACTGTTTTTTTTT